CTATTTACATAGACTTCGTTTCCATTTTTTTCTTTTCTCATAATTTTTCCTTTCCCTTCTTTCCTTTCCTCTTCCCCTCCCACTTCCTCTACCCCTTTGGACCTTTTCTTCCTATTTCAAATGATGAATTATTCATTTTAATCATTGTAATCCTTAATTACACTTTCAGTTTCTCAGACTAGAGAAACTGTTCGGTATTTACACATCTGTGTCCTATTTATTTCATAAAAACTTATATTTAATTGGACTTTGAAAATCCAGTGACCATACATATACATAAGGACTAGTAATTTCAACACATATTGTGAATAAATTTCTTGTGAGTTTAGCTGTTAAGAGGATATGCATTCATATGTTATCATATGTTCTAAAATGTACAAATGCAAATGTAATGTTCCTTTCAGAAGGGTACAATATATTCTTTTTAAAACTTCACTATAATCATAACCTTTCAATATTGTAAAAGGGTTCTAGCTGAGCTTGGTGGTGCAGGCCTATAATCCCAGCACTGGGGAGGCTGAGGCAGGAGAATTACTGCTAGCTCAAGGCCAGCCTGGGCTACAAAGTGAGTTCAAGGCCAACCTGAGCTACAAAGCGAGACCCTGTCTTAAAAACAAAACAAAACAAACAAACAAAAAGAACAGAAAAAAGTGTTGCAGATATTTTTTGTAAATGTTTAAATTTTGATGCTAATTTTAGAAACAACTTAAATGTGAAAATGAAAGCATGACATGTAATTCATAATATACATGATTCTCATAAATACTTAAAGCCTTTAAAATATTTAAAAATATGCAGTAGTAGCAAAACAGATGAAACACATCCATATAGAGTCTTAATGGAGTTCAAAAACACTTAAAGTAAGAATTGAATTTGACCAATTGAATATTTTCAATTTAATACTAATGGAGTTTTCCAGCACTTTACACATGTATGTAGATTCTATATATATTTTATTTATTGTAAAATAAAGCCTCATTGCAATAAAAAAGACATTTCTACAAGAAAGTTATTTCTTAGCTTTGTTAAAGACAACCATCAATCTGTTGCTTGCTAGAGGTTTAATTAATTGATACTTTTTTGCTGGGGGATGACTGGATCTATGTGAAGGAACCATAACTAGGTGTGACCAAAAGATATATTTGATTTTTCTGGAAGTCATAATTTTATGTAGCTCCTTCAGGAAATTTGTAAATTCCTATTTACTTAGTTTTGAAAGTCTTTACAAAGCCATGAGTGTCAGAGCTCATGGATCTTCTGGTAATGACTGATTCTACTGTAGCTGAACAGACTTAACTAATGCATTAACTGTGTTAAATGTGAAAGCAAGCACAGACATTCAGTGAAACTGTACCATTTCGTATCCCCTCTTTGCTTTCTTTCCTCAATTTAAAGGCTATGTCTATGTTAGCAAAGCCAATTCAAATGGAATTCAGTGTTTGCCCAATTGATTTACCAAAGCTAAATTCATTCAGAAAGTTCCACTAGTTGTAGGCCTGATATTTGAGGTTACCTTCATACACTAGAGCCATGATGGGGATGAATAACCTGAAGCACTTATTTCATCCTTTCTAAATCAATGACACACAATTATGAACACAGTCTTTAAAGAGTATTGCACATGATTTCACCCCTACTTTGTTTTTTTATTTTTTTGAATAGCTCTTTTTTTTACATATATTTATTTATTTATTTTTATAAGAAAACATTTAATGATTAACAGGAAACACATTTTGAAGCATGGAATGGACTTTTTACAGTTTTTTTCAAATTAAAAATCCAATTGTCTAATATTTATCATTAATATCATCATGTGAAATAAAATATAGTGGGTTACTAATTCTATAATGTATATCTCCTTCTTAAATTACATCAAATAGCATTCATTATAAATTTGATAAAAATGGAAAAGCATACATTCTCTCCTCTCTTACCACAGCACTTGAGCACTGTAAATGATGAAGCACCCATTATTATTTTATTTTTGGAAAATTATTATTTTTGGAAAACTGGAGTGAGTGCCTTATATTAAAATCACAGTAGAATCATACATTAATATAAAAAGAGGCAATTTTGAGCAAATCTTATTTGTTTTGGTATCCAGGAGAATATATGGCTAGAAATATTATGAAAACTAATTTTAAAAATAGTTCAAATCAGTCAGGTCCAATTGTTAGCTAAAATATGCCATATTTAATTTCCATATTATTTGAAATGCTTAGAATTGGGTTATTATATATATTTTTTTCCTTCAAT